TGAGAAACCACTTGAAGGAGTGCAATAAAGAACGATGTCTGTGCCTTAGATTCGACAAGAAGAAACTATTTGACAGCAGATGTTGCTGATACAATTTTCAAACTCACCGTTTGCGTCTTTAGCTTCCAAACCTTCTGCTTCGATAACCACCACACTCAGAACTACAATGGGTGGTTGTTCTTCTCCTGCTAGATGCAGCATACGGTAATGCCTATCTGGTGGCATGCCGAAAGCTCTCTGGCCGTAGAGGTACAGATCTTCTTTGTAATGAGCGTATTGTCCACCTGGTGCTGGAGCTCCCACCTAAAGGAAGTTCTTATTGAAAAAATATTGCCTTTGATAATGTCTGCTGCAGTAATAGACGAAACGTCAAGCATAAAAATTTGTAGACCACGACTGGATACACAGTGTTTGAAATTCCCCTCTCTTACTCTCTAAAGAATTCATCTATTCAATTAATTCAAAAATTAGTTTATGAATACTCCAACTCACCGTATTGGCGATCGTGTACAGCATCTCTACATAGAGTTTATCTTTTTCGTTGGGTGGAGAAGAGTAGTCGATTGGGGAGATGCCCAACTGAGCCTCCATTGGTGGGGGGTCGCTGGCCGAAGACTCTGTTAGCTTGAGGATGCTTTGACGCTGGTTCTTCTGCTTCCATGCCAATGCCGTGAAGCTTTCGAAGTATGAACCGTCGATTTCTTGGACTCTACAATATAACAAAAAAAATTATTGCATTATCCATATAGGTTTCCTGATATTACAAATACCAATCTGATTGGGAATAGCACATGTTTGAAATGAATTGGCAAATCTGTGGGTATATTAGGGTTTTTCAATTCGGACCTTGCTATTTAGATGCAACAACATTTTCCATTGATTTTCCAATGAGTAGTCGTGTGCGGTTGCACAGCCGTGGTGAATGCAAAGTACAAAGCGATGCTACCTTCAGTTGTGACATACTAATGAGCTCAAAAACTCATAATTCATAGTTAGGCTCGATAGATAAACAGTGATAGTGACCGAAAACTGTGTAGGGAGTGGAAGAAGGCTTATAGTGTGAGAGAGACGGGAAACCGGCTTCATTCTCATCCCTACTCCGAGCTGTTTACTGAGTGACACCGGTAGACGCCTGACGAGAGAGAATAACTGATCTATTAGCAGGGTTAAAAATGATAGAATCACCAATATATATATATA